CTTCCTCCCTCCCCTCTCTCCTCTTGCCTCCCTCCATCCCGCTCTTCCTCCTCCTCTTCTGTCCGGCTTCGCTTTCTGAAGCTTTTCGGCGCTTGGCTGCGGGCCAGGGTCGGCCAGGCCGCCTTTTCGTGCAGTTCCAGAAGTTGGATGAGTGAATCCATGTTGTGTTGTGCTGGATCTCGGAGAGACACGGTGCAAGTAATTCTTTTAACGTCATGCGTGGTGAGGTCATTTGTTTGTGATGCTGCGAGGTTAGTTTTAAAATTATAAAAATAAAGTAATACAAATCATTAAAGCAACAAAGAAAGGTAGCCTGTTCCTGCCCAGGTTGGAGAGGATATGGGCGTATCGCCCGCATCAGTTCGCCTATGGTCAAGAGCATAGGGCCCGTGATGCTCTTGTCTTCCTCGTCCTTCCTTGGCTCCTCGCCTTCTCTTTTGGCTGCAGGGTGGCCCTTTCGTGCTCTGACGTTTCCGGCGCTTTGTGATCATGTTAAGGCAGAGCGTCTGTGCGAGAAACTTCGTGGCTTCTGTGTTCCATTTAGTTGATTTCTAGCTGGCATCGCCCTCGCTCTGCTCGGGTGGTGGTCTGTTGTCAGAAGTCTCATCCCTTCTTTATGCGCGACATGTTGTACCGAGGGATTTTTTTCGTACCGCCGCTCTGGAGCATCTTCCTCCGACTCGTACTTCGCTGCACGAGCAGAGGGCTTTGAAGTCATTTTTGCGGATGATTTAAATGCATGGAGAGCAGTTGCTAGAGACGTCACTGATGCCGACGCTTTTGCTCTCGCTCAGGACTGTTTTTCTGCTCTGCACGCCTGGGGCGAAGCGGATCAGGTACGCTTTCACGCTTCGAAGGAGAGCGAACACATCCTGTCTCGAAGGCGTCCTGCCGGCGACAGCTTCAAGATTTTAGGCATTCGTTTCGATTTGAAGCTCGTCATGGCTGAAGCTGTGGACAAGTGCGTATCTGATGCGTTTTGGCGTGACGCTTTCACAACGACGCTGAGCTTGTAGGATTGTTCAAAACGCACGTGCTGTCATTTATTGAGTATCGCACGGGTGCAGTGTATCATGCCCCTACATCTGTACTGTCGCCTCTGGATGCCATACAGACGCTTTTTATGCACTCGCTGGGCATTTCGGATATTGACTCGTTGATGCTTTTTAATCTTGGCCCGCTGTGCACGAGGCGTGACATGAGCATTCTGGGCGTCATTCGAAGGGGCGTCCTCGGTGCCGGCCCCTCCTGCTTCTCCCGCTTCTTTCGCCCCCCTTTCCCCTTCTTCTCCGCGGCTCCCGCCGCCACCGCCGACGCCTCGAGGAGCCGTCTTTCGATTCGCCCGATTACATTTTGCATTCTGCCTTGGGTGCTACCTGGGTTTACAATCTTTTGCCAGACTCTATTATTGCCGCCCGTTCCGTGTCTCAGTTCCAATCACGTTTGCAACGCCTCCTTCGCTGTCGAGCACAGCGCTGTGCCGACTGGATGCACGCGTTTTCGCCGAGGCTTCTTTGTGCCTCGCACCCGTTGCGGGCTTGTCGCGCCTGGCGCGGGTAGTTTTCTTTCCCCCTCTCTCTCCTCTCCTTCTCCCCCCTCCCCCTCCTCCTTCTCTTCTCCTTCGTTCCGTCTTCCCTTTGCTCCTCCTGTTCGCCTCTCCGCGCCTGCTGAGCAGGGCGGCAGCGGCCGCAGGTGCAACCAGAGTGGTGTCCCAAGTGACGCTTCTCGTTCTTTAATGCAAGGTGTGGTCTACTGTTCATCCTGGCGCGAGGTTGATAAACAACAAAATGCAAAACAACAAAAAAACAAACAAACTCAATAACAGTAACATGACTTTGTGATATATATATATATGTATATATATATGTATATATATGTGTATATATATGTATATATATATATGTATATATGTAGAATCGAAGAATCTAATCTTTAACTATCTGATATGTACCCGCACTCATCTCCTCGCAAGGCGTTTTTTGTTTGTGTGAACGCACGATGCAAACGCTAACGCGTTGCCATGAAAACGCCGACAAATGCGCGGTTCGTAGCTTCTCTCGGCTAGATCTGCGTGCGCCGACTTCGCTGGACCGCAGGAGCCCACAAAAGTGATGACGGTTGTGCAATTCGCAGCTACCCATGGGTTTGAGAGGTCTCATTTGAGTGCGTGTGACCTCCTTATTCCGCTGGACCACGAAATTGCTGACAGTTGCAGTTTGTTTCCACTGAGGGAGCAACGAGGTCTCCGTTTGGATGCGTGTGTCGCCGATTCCACAGGACCTCCCACGAACCTACGAAGGTGGTGTCCGCGCAGCGAGTGGCGAGATGTCGTTTGGGTGCGCATGGCGATTTCGCTGGACTTCCCAGGGGTGCAACACATTGGTGACAATCGCGCACTTCGCAGCCACCCAGGGAACAGCGAAGTCTCGTTTGGGTGCGCGTGGCCCCCGATTCCGCGGGACATGCCAGGAACCCACGACAGTCCGACACTCGCGCAGTTCAATGCCGGCCGGGGAACAGCGCAGGAAAAAGGCAGAAGGAAGAAGGAGGAAAAGAGGAATGGGAGAGCACGGTGCTTTATTCAAAACGAGAACCGAACACACGAAATTGGGAATACAAGGATCTTAATTCATCTCAGTGCTGTTCTCTCCTACTTCACGATTGCCGAGGCCATCACTCCCAGCACCCTCGAAGGAAAGACGCAGTACATTTCTCAGTGCCGTGGTGTTATTTTGTGGCATGACTTATGCTTGCAATGTGGTTTCATGGCCGATCTTCCATACATGAAAACCAAGATGCTATTTTATTGTAAGTTTGCCTCGTCAGCTCTCTGACATCGTAGGGAGCTTGATGAAGGTTCTTTTTCTCTATGTGCTGTCCTTGTGTGTGCATGTTCATCGGTCCTCTACTGTACTGGTAAGTCGCCAGCTTGTGTGGGCTTTTCTTCCGTAGTCGGCACCGTGCTGTCTATGTCTCAATTGTATGTGCCGATGAGCCCTATCCAGAGTTGGCAAACGCGTCTGTGAGCTATTTCAGCAGAGATCTAGTATCTGCGCACATGATATTCAGGGCTTAGTTTTGGGTTTTGGATGTATTACACACGGACACGCAGTCGCTATAACAGTGGAGTTCCTTTCATTTTAGCAATACATGAATCTATCATGTCGTGGCAGTGGACACCATGATGCTGTCGTTTTTTCCAATCATCCTGTGGTGTTGGGACCTGTTTTTGGAGAGAGAGAGAGAGAGAGAGAGAGAGAGAGAGAAAAAGAGAAATAGAGAGAGAAAGAGAGAGAGGGCCCCGCGATCCTTCTCCTCCTCCTGCCCCTCTTTCCTCCTCCCATGTTGGCATACCCCTCACGTGTTCCGTGGCCCAATACGAGCTCCACCGAAGGCCCCAGTGGTTGTGACCACATGGGTCCCTGACACCCATGTCGGCACACCTGTCAGACGTTTCGTGGCCCCATAGGGCCTTTGGAGGTCCCAGTGGCTGTGGCCACAGGCGTCCCCGCCACCCATTTCGGCACACCCGTCACACGTTTCGTGGCCCCATGGGGAGTTCCACCGAATGCCTCAGTGGCTGTGACCACATGCGTCCCCGCCATCCATTTCGACACACCTCTCACGTTTCGTGGGCCAGGGAACTCCATCAAAGGCCCCGGTGGCTGTGACGACATGCGCCCCCTCCATCCATGCTGGCGTATTCTGCGCACTTTTCGTGGCCCCATAGGGAACTCCACCGAAGGCCCGAGCCGTTGTAGCCACATGCGTATCTGCCACCCATTCAGGCACAACCTTCACACGTTTCGTGGCCCCATCGGGAACTCCACCGAAGGCCCCAGTAGCCGTGACAATATGCGTCCCCGCCACCCAATTCGGCACACCCCTCACACGTTTCTTGGCCCCATAGGAAGCTCCTCCGAAGGTCTCAGAGGTTGTGACCACATGCGTCCCTGGCACGCATTTTGGCACACCCCTCAAACGTTTCGTGGCCCCATAGGGAATTCTACAAAAGGCCCCAGTGGCTGTGACCACGTGCTTTCCCACCACCCATGTTGGCACACCCCTCACTCGCTTGGTGGCCCCGTAGGGAGCTCCACCGAAGGCCCTTCTTGTTGTGACCACATGCGTCCCCGCCACGCATTCGGGCACACCCCTCACACGTTTCGTGTCCCCATAGGGAGGTCCACCGAAGGCCCTAGTGGCTGTGACCCATGCGTCCCCGCTACCCATTTCGGCAGATCCATCACACGTTTCGTGGCCCCAAATGGAATTCTACAAAAGGCCCCAGTGGCTGTGACCACGTGCGTTCCCACCACCCATGTTGGCACGCCCCTCACTCGCTTGGTGGCCCCATAGGGAGCTCCACCGAAGGCCCTTCTTGTTGTGACCACTTGCGTCCCCGCCACGCATTCGGGCACACCCCTCACACGTTTTGTGTCCCCATAGGGAGGTCCACCGAAGGCCCTAGTGGCTGTGACCCCATGCGTCCCCGCTACACATTTCGGCACATCCATCACACGTTTCGTGGCCAAAAAGGGAGCTCCACCGAAGAGGATACGTACCATTGCGGTGTTCACAACTGCATGTGGTTGGGTCTTTCGCCAGGACCCTTTTGTATTTCAGTTTGCCGTCGCATCCGTTTACTGTTTTACATACGCCTCGCGCGTCACGTTGATTCTTACGTTTCACGTAATTTGCGATCGTTCGGCGTGAGGTTTTGGTTGTTGGTGGTAGTGTTGTCTGTTGGCGTGAGCAGCCGCGCCCAGGTCGTTTTCAATGGGCACATATCAGAGGGAAATTATACCATGGTGTTGATAATGCTGCTGTTGATGATGCTTTGTGAGGACGATGGAACGCTATGAAGATGGGTGACGATAGATGTTGGTTGAGGTTGACGGTGCTGCTGCTGCTGTTGATGATGATGATGGCATGATGATGGCATGATGGTGACAGCGATGATGGGTAGCTCTAGCAGTCCAACTCTCCGCTGGCGGCAGGAAGCCCGGCACATCGAGCGCTTCCGGGATTTGTACGGTGCCCTCTGCCCGGAGGCTGCCGGCGGCACCGATCGCTGTGCATGCGGCTGTCCGGCGCCCAAAGCTGGCGCTGCAGAGGGCCGTCGGGGAGCAGGCATACACTGGCCTGCGCTGACAGGGGTGAGCCGATTCCCTGTGGTATCTTGCATATTCGGGAGCCTTGTCTGTCACCAGCATCGTTGATTTTTGTTTGCGCCCGACGTGGGTGGGACGCGGATCTGGCGTGGATTGAATGCGGATTCGACGTGGACCTGTGGCGGATTCGACGTGCTTGATATGGATTCGACGCGGCCTGGCGTGATAGGACAGACGATGCCCCCCGACGATGCAACAGAGTTCTAGAGGAAGCAGGGCCGGGACCCGCGTGGTCCGTTCCGGAGTGGGCCTGCGCCCTCGGAGAGTTTTTCTCGCCTTCGGCGGAAGCCTGCCGAAGTGTGGTGCCAATCTTTGGAGTTCAGACGCGAGCGGCTCCGCGGGCGGAAACGGGCCGAAAGGCGGCAGAAGCTGGCGGGAGTGATAGCAATCGGCTTTCCGATTTTGCTTTTCAGTTGGCCAGAATGCGGGGCCCCAAGATGTACCCCCCCCGTCCTTTTTCAATGAAGAAGAAGAAGAAGAAAAATAATAATAAGAGAAAAAGGAGGGCTCAGGAGAGAGGAGGCATGGAGGTGGTACTGGTGCATGTTCAGATCCTGCTCGAGCCGACCCTCCCTCACTTCCCTCCGCTGACCCGAGTCTGCACGTAGGCCTACAATGTAGGTCAGATGGGGCTGACCCGTGGACTTCGGCCACGCAATCTAAACCAACTGGCATCTGACCGTGGACATGCTGCCGGAAGGCTGAATTTCTTCGCGCTTCGCGTATCCCCACCAGTACCACATTGCGTTTAGACTCCCACGCTTGTTCGTGGGCTTCATAGTCCGTGAGGGGCCGGCTGAAATAATCCACTCCCACGGTTCCCTTTGGCCTTGTTCTCACTGGACAATGGCCCGTCTTTGTCCGCTTGGGCACTCACTTTGGATGACTGGGACTGCAGGCCAAAGGCCCACCCCAGGTGCTCCACCCGTCGTACCGCACTCTTTCCACACTTCCTACCTACGGTGGCCCCGGTCAGGTGGAGTCGTTCCCCCCCACCTGGCGAGCACCTTCCCCCCCTCAAGTGCACCACTCTTGCAACACTCTGTTGGGTCCTCTGCGGTCACTGCCGCCACCTGGCCCACCGGCTTTGCCCCTCTCCCCTCCTCCATTATTTACCAGATTTGCGGCTATCGGCTGCGCCTCCCCCCCCCTCCTCCACGCACACTGATGTGGTCTACCACGCCACTCGGCTTCCCCCCATCGTGGCAACGTTCACGGGCATGCTCCGAGGTGGTCACACCTATCCCGCGGCGGGGTGCGGCCCGCTGGCTCCGGTGGGTGGGCCTGGGAAGGCCAGATTCCTGTTCAAGTGGTCCATCCTTTGACAGGACTGTGCCTTCACATGGCAGGCCCGTCCCTCCGGCCCCCGGCTTCGCTTGTGACATCGCCCCCTTCCTCTGGACGGACATGTTGCTCGCGTACGCCAAAGTCGCCAACGACCGTTTCCACGGTGCACGGCACACGTGGCCCACGACAGCCCAGCGGCTCTCCCATGGGCAGGTCCGCAGGCCTCCCGCTGGGTGGTGCTGCCGTGGTCCCACGCAGCGTTCCCCCCATCCATTGTGGCAAGGCAGTTGCAGGCTGGGTCTCTCACGACTAGGCTGCCGACGCCAGTCATGGTTCGACGTACCGTCTTCGAGCGCTTTAGGTGCTCTGTGAGTGAAACTTCCGTCCTTTCCCCTCCCCTCGTCGCCTCCTGCGCCTGTCTCCCCTTCTGTCCTCCTCGCCGCGTTTGGCGGTGCCTTTCTTTCCTCGGGCTCTTTGCCGCCCGCACAGCGCTCCACCTTCTCGCAGGCTTGGTCCGTGGGGGCTGGCGCCACTGTGCGACCCTCCACCGGTTTTTCCAGTCTGCTGCCGCCTTCCCGGGTCGGCTCTAATGAGGTTCATCTTGTCCCTCGCACGTGCATTGCGGCGTTGGCCTATGTGCTGTGCCTTCGTTGCCTATCGTCTCGCGTTGCGCCCCTGTCGAGATTGACCCGCTCTCTGGAACCGTCCTTGGAGCCGCAGATAAAAAAAATATCCCCACCAGTTTCCGTAGCCCCTTGGCTCAAGCCATCTCGGCTCGAGCACGCCCCCCTTTCAGGTGCGCGCCTGCCGGGACTGCTACTTCTCGGCCGCGATGGCTCTGCGTTCGTGGGACTGGAGCGGCCGCGCTGCCGCAGGCTCTTCCAGCCGCTGGCAGCAGGCAGGAGAGCAATGGGGCCGACGGCGCCCCTCTGACCAGTGGGCGGAGGCCGCAGCTTCCCTCGGCGGGGCGGCGCCGCGGCCGAGGGCCGCCTGGCAGGCCGCCGCAGGCTGGCCGCCTCCAGAGGCCGCCGGCCGGCCGCCGACGCGGGCGGGCCGCGGTGCAGACTACGCACCTCAGGCGCAGTCCCTTGAGGCTGCCTCGGCACGACGCAGACGGCAGCGTGGTGCGGCTGCCCAGCGTTGGAGGGAGGAGCAGCTGCCTCTCCACGGTGCCGCCGGCGCCGCCGGCGCCGCGGGCGCCGGGCGCGACGGCGCCGCGGGCGCCGCTGGGGCCGGCGCCGCGGGTTCGGTGGCTGGCGCCGCCGCCGCCGCCCTTGCGGCCGCCGGCGCTGCGGCTGCCGCCGCCGCCGCCGCCGCCGTGGCGGAGGCGGCCGCCGCGGCGGCCGCGGGTCACGCGGCCGGCGCCGCGGCCGCCGTGGCCCGCGCGGCCGCGCTTGGGCCCGCCGCGGCCGGGCGGCAGCAGCAGCAGCCGCTGCGCCTGCGCCTGCAGGAGCAGCAGCAGCGGCAGCAGCGACAGCAGCAGCAACAACAGCCGCAGCAGCAGCGGCAGCAGCAGCAGCCGCAGCAGCAGTACCTGCAGCAGCAGCAGCAGCTGCAGCAACTGCAGCAGCAACAGCAGCAACAGCAGCAGCCGCAGCAGCAGGGCAGCAGCAGCAGCAGCAACAGCAGCAGCAGCAGCAGCAGCAGCAGCAGCAGCAACATAACCCAGCAGCTGCAGCAGCAGCAGCAGCAGCAGCCGCAGCAGCGGCAGCAAGAGCAGCAGAACCCGCAACCGCAGCCGCAGCAGCAGCTACAGGTGCTGCAGCAGCAGAAAAACACAGGGGAAGGGAACGGCGCGGGTCAGAAGGAGGTACCCCTGCTCCCTGACGCCCTTCTGGGCACCCCTGACGGCCAGCAGACTGGGCAAGAAGACGCAGGCGAAGAGTCTTCCAGCACTCTTGCGGCAGCCAGCGGCAACCCTGGGCGAACAGAGACTCGCAACAGCTCAGACGGCCGTCAGCGGCACCCCTGGTGACGAGGGCCCCACAACACCTGAAGACACTCCCTCCGAAGGTCACAAGGAGGTACCCTTGCCCCCTCAGCAGCAGCAGCATGGCAGGGAAGAGGAGAGTGGGGCCACGGCGGAATGGGCGGAAGCGGCGGAGGCCGCGGAGTACGGGGGCCCGAAGCGACGGAGGCGTTTGAAGGTGCGGAAGTGGCACGAGCCGTCACCCGTGTCCCTGGAGCAGAACCGGGCGGGCAGGGGTTGGCCCCCGAAAGCGCGGGCGACAGCCGCAGCAGTCCGCTGGGCGAGATCCTGGACCAGCAGGGCCTCGCCTGCCACATCGTGCCACCCCCACCTTCTCCACAAAATAAGCAGACCGCCAGCAGTCCGCTGGGGGCGCCACAGACCCGACAGGGGGGCCACGGACCAGCCGTTCAGATGCAGGACATCGAAGCCATCCGCCGGCTCGTCGGGAGAAACCCCTTCGCGCTTATTCGCCCCCCTTCCCCTGCCAGTGAACCCGCTGTAACGGGCGACGAACCTCGGGCGCTCCCTCCAGACGCCCAGGGCGCGACTGACTAAGAATTTTGTGCTCTGGCAACGGAAGCGGTGTCGCCGTGCGTGCGCGCTCCTGGCGCGACCAGCGGCGCCCCCGAGACCGGCGAGAGCCCCGCGTTGACCGAAGGGGGCGCGCCCGTGAGCGACGGCGGGCACGGGCCCGAAGGCGGATGCCAGCGAAAGGGGCCGCTCCCCGCGCGCCGCAGGGCAGCGCCCGCCAGGGCTGCCGGAGGCGACCCGGCCCCTGCCTGGCGGCCAACTATGTGGCCCGCATCTCCCCGCAGGGCCCTGCCAGGCGTGCAGCTGGAATTGTCGCGAGCAGATTGCGAGCCCTCTGGCCAGGACAGCGGGGCCGGTTCGCCAGAGACTTGCGGCCAGAGCACGCGGCAGCGCCAATGGCCAGAGCCGCGCCAATGGCCAGAGCCCTCAGACCCCGACACGGGACAGCAGCTGTACAAAGCAAAGATCGACAACATCCAGTGGGGCCTTCCCGGGGAGACACCCGGCGAGGTGACGGGGCGGCTCCAAGTCACCCTGGGGGCAATGCTCACAGGCACCTGGCGCGCTTTCGCCAAGCAGCAGGCCGTGCCTGGCAGCAGCAAAGGCGCGCTCGACCCGCTTCGGCGCGACCCGCAAACCTGCCTTCGCTTCCTGGACTCCTTTCGCAGCCACAAGTGCGACGTGCGGGCCGTCAGCGGCGCGCTGGGCCTTGGCGTCGACTGGGCTCGGCTGCGGCATCAGCGCCCGGGTCGAAGCGGCGGAGCGAGCAGGGGTCACCATGCGGCAAAGGGCCACCCGGACACCCGCGCACCCAGGAAGGGCCAAAAACAGTGGCTGGTCGTCTCCCCGCAGTAGCCGTTGCGGCCCCACGTCGTGGCCCCGCACTGGCTGTGAAGGATCCCGGGTGTTCCTGTCCAGCGGCCATATCCCTGGGTGCCCGTCCCGTCGCCCCCCCCGGCGGGGGGCCCGCGGGGCTCAAGGTGCCCTGCGTCCCGGTGCTGTCGGCCAAGGATTGTCTGCCTCCCCCCCCGTGCTCGCCCTCTCCTCACTTGTCTTCGCCCAACCCGGTGCGGGTGTTTCCGCGACCCTG